CTTCCCTCCTTCCCTCCTCCCTTCCCTCCTTCCCTCCTTCCTTCCCTCCTTCCCTCCCTCCTTCCTTCCCTCCTCCCTTCCCTCCTTCCTTCCTCCCTCCCTTCTCTCTTTCTCTCTCTTTCTCCCTCCCTCCTTCCCTCCCTCTCTCCCTCTCTCTTTCTGTCTTTCTCTCTCTCTCTCTTTCTTTCTTTCTCAAGTCTTGCTGTGTTGCCTAGGCTGGAGTGCAGTAGCATGACCTTGGCTCACTACAACCTCCACCTCCTGGGTTCAAGCGATTCTCCTGCCTCAGCCTCCCTAGTAGCTGGGATGACAGGCATGTGCCACTATGCCAGGCTAATTTTTTTGTATTATTGGTAGAGACAGGGTTTCACCATGTTGGCCAGGTTGATTTTGAACTCCTGACTTCAGGTGATCTACCCACCTCGGCCTCCCAAAGTGCTGGGATTACAGGCGTGAGCCACTGTGCCCAGCCTAATTTTGTTTTGTTTGTTTGAGACGGGGTCCCACTCTCTTGCCCAGGCTGGAGTGCAGTGGATCATGGCCCACTGCAGCCTCGACCTCCCAGGCTCAAGCAATCTTCCGACCTCGGCCTCCTGAGTAGCTGGAACCACAGGTGTGTGCCACCGCACTCAGCTAGTTTATAAAAAAATTTTTTTGGCTGGGCGTGGTGGCTCACGCCTGTAATCCCAGTACTTTGGGAGGCCGAGGCAGGAGGATCACCTGAGGTTGGGAGTTCAAGACCAGCCTGACCAACATGGAGAAACCCTGTCTCCACTAAAAATACAAACTTAGCCAGGTGTGGTGGCACGTGCCTGTAATCCCAGCTACTTGGGAGGCTGAGGCAGAAGAATCGATTGAACCCAGGAGGCGGAGGTTGCAGTGAGCCGAGATTACGCCATTGCACAATTGTTGCCTGGGCAACAAGAGCGAAACTCTGTCTCAAAATAAATAAATAAATAATTTTTTGTTTTGTGGAGACAGAGTCTCACTACATTGTCCAAGCTGGTAGTCTTGGACTTCTAGCTGCAAGCAATCTCCTACCTTGGTTTCCCAAAGTGTTGGGATTACAGGCATGTGCCACTATGCCTAGCTAATGCATTTTTTTTTTTTTTTTTGAGACGGAGTCTCTGTCACCCAGGCTGGAATTCAGTGGCATGATCTTGGGTCACTGCAACCTCTGCCACCTGGGTTCAAATGATTCTCCTGCCTCAGCCTCCCGAGTAGCTGGGATTACAGGGACCTGCCACCGTACCCAGCTAATTTTTGTATTTTTAGTACAGATGGGCTTTCACTGTCTTGGCCAGGCTGGTCTTGAACTCCTGACCTCATGATCCACCCGCCGCAGCCTCCCAAAGTGCTGGCATTACAGGTGTGACCCACCATGCCCAGCCTGAAACACTTTTTAAAGTCAGAATTATTGAGGTATAATTTACATATGGAAAAAATTCACTTTTTTAAAGGTATACAGTTTTATAAATTTTGACAAACATATTCAGTCATGGAACCCCCATCACAATTTAGATACAAAATCCATCCATCATCCTCCAAGTTTCCCCTGTGACCTTTGTAGTAAACTCTTCCCGTTTCCAGTCCCTATGTAATCACTAATTTGTTTTCTATGCCTATGGCCTTGACTTTTTCTAAAGTGTCATATAATTGGAATCATACAATATGCAGCCTTTTAAGTCCAATACATTTTTTTTTTTTTTTTTTTTGAGACGGAGTCTCTGTCACCCAGGCTGGAGTGCAGTGGCCGGATCTCGGCTCACTGCAAGCTCTGCCTCCCGGGTTCCCGCCATTCTCCTGCCTCAGCCTCCCGAGTAGCTGGGACTACAGGCGCCCGCCACCTTGCCCGGCTA